TTTTTTTTTAATGGCAATTTTTGACTGCCTTTCTTAGTCTTCCTCTTGTGGGAGTTATTAGTAATTTTGATCTCTCTCATGCTCACCCCCTCCCAGCCTTGTGGTTTTGCAGTTGCGTTCTCTTGGCCTCCATAGCCCTCAGTTCAGAACCAGATTTTCTATCGTCAGCTTGGGTATCCATGCTGTCATTATTTGGGGGTATTGCTGATCCTGTGACTGGATCAGAGGACCAGGTTCCTTCCATTTTGGGGTAAGAGGCTTTGTATAAGCCTCAGCCTCAGAAGCAGTTTGTTACGTATTTTATACCCCTGGTTCTTGGGTGTGGGCGTCCCACACAGTCCCTGGTTTGGGGACACCTCCTCAGTGAGAGAAGCTCTTCACCACCTCTGCCTGTTTCCTGGCCTGGAGCCTCAGGACCCCACGGTGTCATCCCAGCTCACAACCTCGTGTCTCTGCTATTCTGACTCTTGGAGATGTTGATCTTTTTGAGCAAGGCTTTGACTTTTAATTTTTGCATTTTATCTGTTATTGTTAAGTGTTTGGAGCATAGGGGGCCTTAAAGCATGAATTTATAGCATCGCTGTGCCGGCAAGTTCTATAATTACTCCTCTTTTTGACTCCCCACCAAACCTGTGATAGCACCAGGCCCACAGGGTTTTACTCTTGAAAGCTGGGTATGCGGAGGAAGGAGGGAGAGCTAATGCTGAGCTCACTCCGCCTCCTCATTTCACAGAAGAAACCGAGGCCCAGTGACTTGCTTGGGGCCACACATTTTTGTTAGTAGCAGAGCCAGGAAGGCAAACCTGACTCTACAGCCTGGGTCTTTGAACACCTGCCTTTGAACATGATTTCTCAAATATAGAATAATGGCTCTCTTCTGTCTGAGCCTCACTCGCAGGTTAAGGGCCAGCACAGTCCTCTGTGGGCTCTCCCTCCTCCAAGGGCATATGGCACTTAAGAGGGAGGGAAAATGGATCGGCTCTAATAATTACTGAGTGCCTCCCTTGTAATGTAATGGCTCTGCCTGTGGGGTCGTCTCAGCTAATGGTTGTGCGAAAGCTCACATTTTCATATACACGACTGCCCTCTAGTGGCCGTCAAATGAATGGTGAGAACAGCAGCTGAAGTCCCCCCAAGACCGGTTTGTCTTAAACACATTAAGGTTCCCATAGTCATAACTTCCCTGCCCTGCATGGAAACATAGATTCAAGTCCTATTTACTTGGTATTTCAATGCCAAACATATAAGATATGTATGAATATTATCTTAGCAATAATTAGTAACAAATTCCTGCTCAATTGAGCCTATAGACTTTGTGGCCGTATACCTGGAGGATGGCACTGCATTTTCACCTGGCTGGCTTGAAATGCAGAGTAATGGACGCTGATGAAACTATAAAAAGAGCAGCCGCTGCTTCTTTAGGAACTGTCTTTACTATCCTCCTGGGCTTTATAGCAGGTGGTAACTGAAGTGGTACGGAGTAGGTCTGTCTCACCGCTGTGGTTGAGGGATGGAGGGGGAGGAGCAGTTTTTAGGGGGGACCCTGGGCTGTCCCCTCTGTGTACACACACACACACACACACACACACACACACACACACGGAGCGTCTACTCGCAGCCGCTCCAAACTGCAGTCTGGTCTCTGGGTCCCCTCTCCTCTGACTGATGTCCCCTTTTGACTCACCTGTCTGCCCTGCGTGTCTAGCAGGTCACAGCCCTATCCCAAGCTTTGAGGCTGATCTTCCGAGTGTCCTGAAAACATGCCTTCTAACCAGCCTGTGTGTAAACGCCAGCCTTTAGCTCTCCGCTCAGCCAGTCGCTGGGGTACTCATTAGGTAGCAGTGGTGTTTCTTTTTCAAATACAACCTTTACTCGCAAGCCGTCATATGGAAAAGGTGTTGGCAAATTGAAATTTTGTAAGTCGAGTAACGTTGACTGCTCTGGGGCCTAACTATTTAAGAACTCCTATGGCAAATTCTTTTGTAAATTGAGTCCTCAGCCGTGTATCTGTTTTAAGAATTCAAGCTTTCATATATTTTCTTGCCTGAGGGGGGATGAGTTTACTTATATTAAAAAGTAAAACAGATGCAAAGAAAAGATGGTGTCTTCCCTGCTCCCCTCCCACCATACTTAAATAGTGGTGTGTAATCACAATTATCCAGCAAGCAATTATGCTAAGTATTAATGAAGGGACCCTAGTCAAAAAACTATGCCCAGGGGAAGGTTCTGCCTGAAAGTCAGGGTTAATGGCCCAGCCATTGTTTTAATGGATTTTCAATGAGGTGTGAGATGACAGGCCAACAAGGGTGAAGTTTTATGCCGCAGCTAAATAAGCACAATTAGCAGCTAGCCATTTAGTATCCTGACCTTGTTTCTCTCTTTGTTTCTTTACAATCTCATTGAACTGATTCCCTGAATGTCAGTTTATTAATTTATGTTGAACACAATTCATAGAGCCTTTGTTAACTCGGAGTAAAGGCGTCCAGAAACAAAAGCAAAAGGTACAAACCACGCGCGCATCCAGTGGCTGACGGATGGTCAAACAAAATGTGGCCTGTCCACACAATGGAATACCAGCCAGCCATAGAAGGACTGAGGTACTGCTATCTGCTACGATGTGGATGAACCTCACAAACATTATGCTAAGTGACAGAAGTCAGGCACAAAAGGCCACCACTGTATGACTCCGTTTATAGGACACATCCAGAATAGGCAAATCCATTGAGACATGGAGTGCCATAGTGATTGCCTGGGGGGGGGGGTCGGAGGAAGGAGGCATAGGAAGTGATAGTTTAATGGTGCAGGGTTTCCTTCTGGGGTGATGATAATGCTCTGGAAGTAGGTAGTGTTAATGGTGGCATAACATTATGAATGTACTAAATGTCACTGAATCGTACATTTTAGACTGGTAAATTTTATGCTATTTTACCACATACGCACACAACTCAGAGACCCTGTCTCCTGCATTCAAGTGAGAGGAGACAGTTAACAAGGAGATATACAGAGGGTGGCCAAAAAGATGTACGCACATTTTAAGAAAGGAAAACTGTATTAAAATTGTAATACTCAATATATACTGATAGCAAAAGATGAATACAAGTCACGTGTGACTTCTGCAATGACAAGAGGTGCTCAAAGTGGTTACTATCAGTGTCCAGACACTTCTGATTACAGCAAACTGCTGTTTGAGTGACATTGACCAACGTGTCCACTTGCATACATGTTTTTGGCACCCCCGGTATATTTAAGGTAGGTGCTGTGAAGACGAAGAAGACAGGCTAAGGGGACAGAGAGTGACAGGAAGGTGCTATTTTATAAGGGAGACACAGCTGTCCCTTCTGGGCGGGATGTGAGGGAGAGAGCAAGGGGATGGCTGAGAGGAAAGCATCCAGGCCGGCAGCAGAAAGGGCAAGACCCTGGGGCAGGAGTGTCAGGAGTGCTGGGGACCTGCGCGAGGTCAGCAGCCTGAGCTGCTGGCAGAGGGGCTGCAGGAGAGAGGCAGCGGAGAAGAGGCCTGAGGCTGCCAGGGCGGGCCTGTGGGCCTGGGCGCCCTGGGAACCCGGAGAGGTGGGCGGGCAGAGGAGTGAAGGGGCGGGAGCAAACGCAGAAGCTGGAAGCCTGTTGCAACAGGGACCGCTGTGTGCAGCGTGGACAGACGGGAAGGCTCACTATGGCTGTGTCAAGGACTACTGAGAGTCATACAAACGCCACGTCTCCTGTCTGGCTTATATGCAGCAGGGTCCTGAGTCAGCAGAGGTGTCACGAAGTGAGGAATTTTGTTGTGCTTTTGAGCCAGGGCCCAGGTATGTTCATTTATTTATGTTTCATTCAGGTTTGTATTGAATGATAGGCTGGATTTCACACAGGGGGAGGGGGGGGAGGGGTGTCCTGTTGTCCCCCTGCCAGGGCCGCCCTTCCCCCTGCTTTCTTCATCCCCATGACACTTACTTACATCACTCCCCGCACAAATACATATCTGTCATGCTTCATTTCTGTGTTAGCTTGGCTAGGCTCTAGCACCCTGTTATTCAATCAAACACTAACCTGGTGCTGCTGTGAAGGTATTTGTTTTGTTTTGTTTTTGTTCCTTTTTTTGGGGGGGAAGGTATTTTGTAGATGTGGGAAACATCTACAATCAGTTGACTTTCAGTAAAGGAGGTTACTCAGGATAGCTTAGGTGGGCCTCACCTAATCAGTTGAAAGGCCTTACCTGCAAAACTGAAGTTGCCCCCTGGAAGAAGAAACTGCCTCAAGACTGCAGCCTTGACTCCTGCCTGAGTCTTCAGCCTGCCAGCCTGCCCTACAGGTTTCACATTTGCCAGCTCCTACAATCACAGGAGCCAATTCCTTGAAATAAATACATACACATATGTATTTACATATACATACACATGTACACATACACATTCCCACATATGTATCTCCACTGGTTCTGTTTGCCTGGAGAACCTGACAGCTACACAGACTCCATAGGACAGGGCCTGGCCTGGCTCTGCCATGGCTGTGTCCCCGCGGCCTAGAACAGTGCCTGGCCATAGGAGGTGCTCAGTCAGCCTTGTCCAATGGATAGTTCTTCCTAATTCTTGTTTATTTGTGTGGTTGTTGGCTCAGTTTGAAAATCAAGACAGGGCAAAAAACAAAAACGAAAACAAAAAACCCCCCCAAAAAGAGCAAGGGGTAAAAAAGAGAGGCACAATAATCTTATTTGAGCTGGGTGAGCTGGGGATTTCTTGGCGGGGCCCAGTGCTGTGAGTTCTGCTGTTGAATGTGTGTCTATTTGCAGTTGAGAAAAAGCTGTGGCTGTGAAGACAGGTTGCAAATTTAACCTCAGGTTCAGGTTCTCCTAGCAACGTGCACACCCCGGCTGCTGGCTAGTGTCATCCAAGCCCCAGATATGTGCAGCTGGAGCAGGTCCTGTTACTTGGAGAACAATGGCTTCTGCTTCCTGCCTGTGGAGGTGACTGCTGGGGCATTAGGAGGGCAAGTGAGGTGGGTGTTGCCTTTTGTTTCCCAAGTCATTGTTTTGAAGCAAGGTGTCTGAGGAGGAGCTGGGTGAGTGGGAGAATGAGGTAGAAAGCCCGAGTCCTGACTTTGGTTTGTTTAGGAACTAGCGGTTAGTGCAAAGCCTCTTGTTTCAGGATAGGGCTCCAATGTCTGGAGGAGCTGATGAGAGAGCCGACTCCCCACCCACATTGTTTGGCTCTCAGTCTCCACAGGCCTCCTGGGTCAGGACATAAAGTGTGGGGGTGCATTGGGGGTGGGGTCCAGGAATGAAAAAAATCAAACTGGCATTGGTTGGGGCCCAGAGGGGTTTAGGTTTCCAGATTTTTGCGTTTTTTATATTCACAGACCATCTTACCTCCACCCTCTATCCAATTGTTGTGGCCAAGTCAGCCTGGTTGGAAAGGAACCCAGAACACTCCCCCCACCCCCCCCAGCTCTGATTCTTCTCTTACTTTGTTGGCCTGGAGGGACATTAGCCTGGAGAGGATGGCGTGGTGTGAGTGGAGGAGGAGGGCTGGAGGAAACTCCACTCGTGGTCGCCCTCTGTGTGTGTTGTGTCCGATTGGTGGTGACCACCTGGTGTTACCACTTCCACATTGCAGAGAAGGAAGCTGACCCCGTGAGGCCAGGCTGTAGGAGTAGGTAACAAAACTGAGAGCCAGGCGCAGCTCTGACCACCTTCTTTCTCCCACATCTACTGCCCTGGTGGCGAGACATTTTCTATAGGATTTGAGAGGCAACATGTGGAGTGTTGCTGTGGGCTAATTTTCTAAGAGAATGTCCTAGAGAAAATCACATTTCCTCCTAGAGTAGCCTCCGCTTCAGGGGTAGGTAGCAGAAAAAATACTATGTATTCACTGAACTGATTTTATTTTCCCCTCGACATGTGGAAAGACTATATTTCTGAGCTTCCAGCGCAGTGAGATGGTGTCACAGTGCTTCTGGGCAGTGGACGGGGCTGTTGGGGAGGGGGATTTGTCCCCTCTATCCTGCTTTAGGTCTTATGGCTGGACTAATAATACAACAATAAAACTGACGCAAAACTAGTTCAACAGGAGAAAGACCAATTTAATAAGCGCGCATGGGAGCATCGCCACCCGATGCTCAGAGCATAAAATGAGGCTCAAAGAAATGATCAAACCAGGCGCCTTTTCATTGCTTTTTAGACAAACAACTAGGTGAGAAATTGACAGGACAAAGACAACTAGTGCTCATTACAAAGGATTGGACTTAGGCAGTAAGTTATTAGTAAAATGAACACGGGTTTATTTATACAGCCGACCTTGAACAACTCGGGTTTGAACTGTGCAGATCCACCTATACAAACGGGTGTTTTTCAATTGACCCGAGCAGTTCAAACCTGCATGGTTGATAGGTCAGCTGGCAGTTGGGAATCACCTACGAAGAAGAGGACTGACTTAAGTCACGTGGCCGGGCTGAGCGGTCCACAGTGGTAAGTCTGTCCCTTCCCCAGTCTGATTGCTCCTTAGCCATTTCACAGCAGGTCCAGCAGGTGCATTTGTCTTTGTCCCAAGGATACGCCTCTGCAGGTAGGCTAGTGGAGGTGTTCGTGCAAACTGAATGATGCCCGCGGTGGCCAGCGGGTGTCATAGGCCAAGATAAGGGCCCATGATTCTGGGACTCTTACCTTTGAAGTGGTTCCAAGTAGACTCCTAGATAACTGTTTTGGCTTCTTCATCCTCCAAATGTTTTGGGGATCATACTGTCTATTCCACTGGTTTCCGAAAGAGTGAGCTGCCTTCTAAGTTCTTGTAATAAAATTCTTAAGACCTTGATTGTAGGAATTTCCCATACGGAACTTTCTATTTTTGGATTTCAAGTGCATATTCTTTTCTTTCCCCTCCAAAGAAAAAAAAATCTCTTGTTCGAGTTGTTTTTAATAATCAGGACTCAAGGGTCTTACTCATTAAGTATGTGTATTTGTGTTTGCCTGTCTACTAAAGCCGCTACGGATGAGAAACTCTGAATAGTGATGGTTTTGTTCTTCCAAATTACACTTCAGAAACTTTGAATAGTGATTGTTTTTGTTCTTCCAAATGCTTTCCTCAGCATTATCTCCTTTGAGTCTCACACCTCCTCCACGAGGGAAGTTGGGTAGGCGTTTATTTTTATCGTCTTCTTTCTCAGGTGGGGAAACCCAGGCACAGGCTACAAGGACCCAGAGCCAGGGCAGAGCTGGGCCTGGAATCTGGCCTTTGCTGGGTCCTCTTCTCCAGACCCCACAGACAGGGAGGCCACGCTGCTCCTGGACGCAGGTCTGCAGAGGCCTCTGTCTTTGTCTCCTCACTAGGCCAGGGCAGTAGGGTGTAATATGCTTGGCACAGGGAATCCAGAGATATTAGGGGACGGGAGCCTCAGCCCCCAGCCAAATATTCTCCAATGGGAGGAGAGGCCTTTGGGGGGGGGCGGTGGTGATGTGCAGCCCACAGGGAGAAAAGGGCCCCAGTGGACAGCCCTGCCCAGGGATCACTGCTTTCCTGACTGAATTAATTACTCCCTGTGGCATAGCGCCTACCTGTCCTTTTGGTGACGTTCTCTCTATCCACCAACCTTCCCTTTACTTTAGCCTTCTCTCCTTTGTCCCTGCAGAGGCCGCAGGCAGCCCGGGCCTCCTCTGAACCTCCAGGGCCCGCAGGCCGCCTCCACTGCCGATTCCGTAGGTCGCCACCAGGTGGCGCAGCCGCCCGCGATGTGCAGGCTCGGGTCTCCGCTGTGGTCCCAGACGGCGCCTTCTGCCTTCAGCCATCCTCGACCCCTAGCCAGAGGCAGGGCTCCTGGGAGCGCTGGGAAGAGGAAGCGAAGGAATGGCAGTGCCTTCCGGAAGCTTGGGGGGCCACTCCTGGGTTATGGGGTCCAGCGGGGCTTAAAAAGGCTCAGGGTCATTTAAAGAGAGACCACGGTGGGTCTGTGGCTGGGTGGATTGGGATGCCGGGATGAGGAGGATGCTAGAACATCTTTTTCCAGGGATCTTCTCTGGAGTGGAAGGGGCTGGAAAATTGCATTGGAAGGCAGGAGGAGAAAATATCTCTGCACACTTATGGAGTGATTTGTGGGAAGGGGTCCTTATCTATTTAACAAACACACAGCACTTACTATGTGCAGACACTTTACAAGCCTTAACGCATTTAGTCTGCACAAGAAACTCATGACAGTTGAGGACACGGAGGCACAGCTTACCCTGATAGTAAGTGGCAGAAGCGGATTCCACTCAGGCAGTCAGGGTCCCGCAGTTTCCCTCAGGGCTGGCCATCAGCCCCTCTCCTCCCTTATAGGATGGGAGGGTGTCAGGAAGACGTGCTGCGAGGGAGGCAGGCCTGGGCTTGGCAACTCTGTACAGTTTAACTTTGATGCCCTCCTGCTTTATTTACTCACTCATTCCCTCACTCATTCATTCATTCATTCATTCATTCACTCACTCAACAAATATTGATGTGGGACTTGCTGTTTGCAGGCATGGTACTTGGAAATTGGGCTACGATGGTCAGCAAAACGAGCCACAGTCCTTGCCCTTGTGGAGCCAGTGGGGGAGACAGAGATTAATTGATCATGCAAGTGACGGTCCTAGTGTTCTAGAGAAAGAAGCACCGCTCTCCCTCTTTAGCTCTCTTTCTCCACGCCCCACTCCATCTGCCCCATCCCCAGGTCCACTGGCATGTTCAATGTGTCAGCTAAGGTGCTAGCTCAGAGCTAGGGATGGGTGGTGAGTTCATTTATGTGCACAGCCCTTTGTGACTTGGAAGGCAGATCACGCCCATTGTCTTCCTCGGCCTTGTCCAGG